GTGATACAGTTAGTATGTGTCAGAAGAAAGACTTACACCCACTTTTTCCTGATGTTGTATCCAGCTAATGTATGTAGCACCTTGAGGTGCTAAGACCAGACTAAATGAAGATCACTAGTGGTGTCAACAGGGATTATTTGCTAGGAAGGGACAATATTGGCCCTGTCAATAACAATATTAACCCATTTCCATAAAACTTTGAAGTCAACAGAGTACCTTCCTTACAATAGCCTTGTAAGAGAGACAATGCAAACATTATTGTCTGCATTTTCCAAATGTAGAAGTTAAGAGTCAGAAATCTGAAGTGACTTGCCAAAGTTTACATGACTTATGAGTATCAGAGCTGAGATTTAAACTCAAGGCTTTTGACTCAAAGACCTATAATAATCTTTCCTCTAGGCCACACTGCTTCCTCCCATTTGTAATCTGTGTAGGGCATTTTCAGCGGCCAGGCCAGACACACTAAACAAGACTTTCTTACCTGCAGTTCTAGGCCAATTTTGAGGGTTTTCCCTTTCTAATTAATAACTTTTATTTATGCCTTTCTGTTTTTTTTTAATCAGAAGTAAATGGCAACATATCTCACTCATGGAATCCTTCTTTTGAAAAAGAAAACTGAAGGAAAATCCAAGAAATAAAAGTTACATTATATGATAGAATTTCCATCATTCTTTATTCTCTGGAGCAAAGATTAGTCACTGTTATTAATCTGAGTTGGGTAGAATTTTAGTGTTTTATTCCCTTCTCTTTTATTATTGTACATTTTTCTCTTGGTTCTCCTTGCTTAAATGCATTAGTTCATACAAGTTTAAATAAAGCAATCAGGATAGTGATTGGCTTCCCTGTCATGCTAAAGGGAATAGGAGATAGGTAGCGGACCTTTGATTTCATTGATGTAATTCCTGGATAAGGAAACTCTCTATCTCTGTATAGGCCAGCATTACCTCTTCAATTTATAGTCTTAGAAAGTTTTGAAAGCTGTACTTAAAAAGCAAAGTAAACTATGTGTAATAGAGACTAGAATTTCATGCTCAATCCTCTTTTTCTGGCCTACTATGCAGATATAAATGCCCAAAGGTATGCCTTGAACCTAGGTTTAAGGTAACTTTGAAGGCAACTCTTCCTCCACTTATGATATCTCTCATAATGAGCGACACCATTTTATGGTTTTCTGGACTGCATTATAGGCAATCTTTAAGTTCTATAAAGGTTTAACTCTACAAGTTCTGCCCTAGTGCTTCTGCACGGTATAGAGGGAGGTCAGAATTTTCAAAAACTATGCCAGTGGATCACAAGTCCTGATTGGTTTTACAATGCTAAAATACAAAGTTTTGGGGGCAGTGAGATGGCACAGTGGATAGAGCACTGGCTCTGAAGTCAGAAGGACCAGAGTTCAAATCCATCCTCAGACCAAACACTTGACCACTTACTAGCTGTGTGACCCTGGGCAAGTCATTTAACTCCAATTGCCTAAAAAAAATAAATAAATAGATAAATAAAATAAAATACCAAGTTTTCAAATATGGTACCAGCAACAGAACAAGTCTCTATGTTGGCAATTTGAAGACATGGACCTTGCTACTAGGTGGTCAGATGTCCTAATATACTGCACTTATTTTTGTAGACTTAGTCAATCACATAGGATAAACAAATTGGACATTAAAGTTTGGGATTTTATTTGGAACAAATTAGCACACAAAAATAAGCTCATGGCTTAACTTGAGATATCAGGGACCAGAGAGCAAAAAAAAAAAATACAGTCAGCTCATAACCATTAGAGAGACCTGATCTCTGTAGGGCTAAAATACATTTGTGACTCAGTCAGTGAGGTAAGTTCAGATCATAAAAAAAATAATAATAATTGTTAGGCCAGAGTATGAGGTGTTGTTGTTTGTTCTTTGTTCTGGAAAAGGACCATCATGACATCAGGAAGGAAGTGAGGAGTTATTCATATTCTATGATGAGAATGAATAAAGAAGTGATGGGCAGTCAGCCAAGTGGACTCTTAAAAGAAAAGGCTGCTTACCAGTTACAGAAAAAACTCTGGGGTTGTTGCTGTTTGTTCTTTGTTCTCAAAGAGGACCATGACATTAGGCAGGTGATGCCATGACATGCAAGTGAATTGAATTTAAGTGAGGGAGGGCTGTGAAAAGTCACCAGCCTCACTTTCTTCTCTGGAGCCAGCTGGGTCCAGTGGTCAGATATAAATCAGGAAAATTGGAGATGGCCCAGGATGCAGTGAACTAATGATTGATCAAAAAGCAATTTCCTGATGGGAACTCAGATATAACTCAGGTTATATCTAACTTTCATAATTTCTTCCAGGTAGTTACAAATGGCCATAGTTGCACAAACTAAACTGGCTGGTCAGTTATGAGAAAAAGAGGGCAGACTTGCTCAGGCAGATCTAACTGGTTACCTATTTCTAATGTTGTCAGCAGAGGGATGCTAAATATTCTAAAAGCTCCCAGAATGGAAAAATACAAAAAAAGGAGAAAGGGTACAGGCAGAATGAAGAATGTTTTCCTTGAGTAAACATGAACTGTTGTAAGAAAAACTAGTCCTAGAAAACCAGCAGTTTTTGTACTCCATGCCTACACATGAATAAAAGAAAAATAAAAAAAAGAATTGTCTGATATTTTTTTCCTTCTTCAGTGATGGTGACACAGTGGTGGGCAAGAGGGTAAAGGGTGCTAAACTCCAACTTTATCTTAGCTGTTGGAAATCTAAATGTGAAATTCTTATCCAACAACCAATGAGTCATCATCCTGCTCAGGACATGAATCACATCAATGAAAAATTTCTTCTCTAAATGAAACTAGAAGACAAAAAGAAATTGTGACAATAGAATAATGGCTCATATATTCTCTCAAGAGAGACAAAAAGAAGAAATAGTAAAGTTGCTTTTATTGTGCATTCAAAGGCAACAAGAAGCATTACTTAAAAGGACATTTAGTCATCTCATTTTGCAGTAATCATGATAAGCATTTTCAAGAAAGTCACTCTTGGTTTTACTTTATTGTTATTCTTTTTCTTTCTTGCAATGGGAGTTTCAATGGTTGGAAGAGTTTAAAATGTACCAATAAAACTAAAGAAGAAAAGATGAATAAAGAATGAGCTAAATAATTGTTCTTTAAATGTCCAATAGAATTCATCTCTAGTTATGTTTTTACCAAGGATTTTTTTTCTTAAATAATTACTTAGGGTGTGTTCAATTTCATTTTCAGAGGTTAAATTTTTTTTTAGCTTGGGTAAGCTCTGACAGTTATTTTTATTTCCTCTCTCTGTTTTTAATCAAACTAGCTTAAGTTTATTTATTTTTGTTAGTCTTTTCAAAGAAACTGATTTAATTTTATCACTTCAATAGTAACTTTATTTTCTATTTTATCTACTTCTTTAATTAGAGTCAGATAAGTGATTCAGTAAGGGATAGAGTGCTGGGCCTGGAATCAGGAAGACCTAAGTTCCAATCCAGCCTCAGATATTTATTAGCTGTATGACTCTGGGAAGTCACTTAATCTCTTTCTGCCTCAGTTTTCTCAACTATAAAATGGAGATGATAATAGCACCTACCTTTCAGTGTTGTTGTGAGAATCAAATGTGACAATATTTATAAAGCACTTAGCACAGTGCATGACACATAGGAGATACTTAATAAATGTTAGTTTCCTTCCTTTCTTTAATTGTAAATTTTCTTTTATACTTACTTTGTGTTTATGAATTTGTAAAATATATAATTTTAATTGCATGTTCACCTTATCATTCTTTTTCTGTTATTTTATGTTTTCAGAGATAAAATTGTTGTCCTCTAAAGACTGCTTTACCAGTATCACAAAACTTTTGACATTCTGTCTTATTATTGTACTCTTTCACAAAGTTATTAGTTACTCTAGTGATTTTACCCTTTGACCCATTTATTATTTAGATTGTAATTATTAAATTTACATTTAGTTCTGTTTCTTTTTATTGCATTCTCTGTATTGTTTTATGTCTTCATTTCTTCTGATTTGTGAAAGGGTTTAATATTTATGCCTTTTTATGATCAAGAGGACATAAAAGCAAGTGGAATTATGGAGGTAAAATTCTTTTTTTTCTGGCTCTATCTGAAGGTAGTATAATGAGAGTGATGTTTTGAAGTACTTTGACTTGGTTGGGGAGAGGGTTGTTGTGGGTAGAAAAAAGACAAGCAAATGAGAAATGTGAAGAAGCAAGCTTGAAGGCCAAAGAAGTATAGGTAGAGAATAGGGAAAATTGGAATCAAAGCTGCTCTTGCTGCAGTCTACATGTTTGACTATCCCATAGAAGATGAAAATGAACACCACAGAAGCAAGAAATGAGGAGTCAGCTACAGAATCTTAGAGATGGCTATTGGCAATCCAAGAAGTACGAATGAGGCTATTGGTGAGACTTCCTTGCACCGACTTTACTCTCCTGTGTTATTTTGGGGAAGATATTTTCTCTTAGGTTATCCATCGTACTTTCTTCCTTTACCCAAAATAGAGAAAAGGATGAAGGAGATTGGCTTAAATTTGATATTTTGTACCCTACAACATGGTCTATTTTTATAAAAGTAACATGATGCTGAAAAAATATGAATATTCTTCAATGTTTCAGTTAAGGAGATACCATAAATCTTTCAATGCTAAAGTTTAAATCTCTCTTCACTTCTATATGTTTTTTCCTTTTTGTTTATCTTTCTGTTAGATTGATCTGTTTCTGAGAAAAGATCATTGAAATCTTCTACACTTATTTTATTTCTCAACATCTTTTTGACATTAGGTTAAATTTTCTTTGTTAAAATTTAAGTTCTAGGTCATTTGGTTCATATACATTTAATAGTTATAAATTATCATTCAGCTCAAATCATCAACCAGCTTCTATATAAGGACTCACCAGATTCCTCTCCCTAATTGCCAGTGTCTCCCTCCCATTCATTCTCTTGTATTTCTCTTTTATTTATTTTCTATGTTTTTCTTATCTATTTATATGTGTATCCAATATTTCCTCCAGTGTAAGTTTCTTGAAGTTAGGGACTGTATTTTTTTTTATTTTGGCTAGGCAATAGGGTTAAGTGACTTGCCCAGGGTCACACAGCTAGTTAAGTATTATGTGTCTGAGGTCAGATTTGAACCCAGGTCCTCCTGAATCCAGGGCAGGTGCTCTATCCACTGTACCAACCCTTTTATTTTTAAACTCTATATTCCTACATCCCAGCATGATCACTGAAGCATGGTAGGTACTTAATAAATTCTTGTTAATTAATTGATCATCCATTGTTATTTTTAAAATATTGCAGTTTTCCTATTTCTTGAATTGTTAATTTTTATTTTTGCTTCATTTACACAATTCTAACTTTCATTAGATGCATAAAAACTTTTCCCTTTGTTTCATTCTGTATTCTTATTTTAAAAATGTGTTTCTTTATATAACAGTGTTGGGATTTGATTTCTTATCCATTCTTTTGCCTTTTTCCCATTTATTGAAGTGATCAATTCTTCATATTTAAGGTTATGATTATTAGATTTTACTTTCTTTTGCTTTTTTGCATTGGTTTTTACTCCTTTCCTTATTTTCTAAGGTAGCATTTCATTGTTGTGAATAGCTTTGTTTATAAAAGTTAGTCCATTTTTGGAATACCAAATTAAACTCCCTTCTCTATTCCATTTCCATGTTAATATATTTTTTGTCCTCATCACAATCTTCCTCTTGCTTGTATGTTTGTTTGTTTGTTATTTTATTTGTGTTTTCTTTGGTTTGTGAGGAACTTTTGATATTATTCACTCTTAGAGACATTAACTCATGAAGGAAGCAGAACATGGTGGGAATCATTCTGTATCCCAAGTCATAATATACAGTTTTACTCCATACCCTGAACATGACAACTCATCACTCCTATATCCAATGCATCTCATCTCTAGCTCTACATCTCTCCTGTCCCCTAACCATCATGGGAATTGCTTATACTTAGGGACTTATAGTTGACCTCTCCTGAGTTGAGATACATTTCTAGGAAATATAAATCTTACTTGGAAAAAATAATCTCTTGATGTGTCCATTGTTCATGGACAAAACTCATTATGAGCCCCTAGTATTCTAACACAAACATACAGCATCCACCATATTCCTCAAGAATGTTCTTTAATGGAGTTCCTTCCTCCTTTAATGGAAAAAACATGTTTTCCACCCCACACCATACCAGTATTTCCTTTCCATTGCTTTTATCCTATTTTCCCATGGTTCCCCACAAATTTTAAAGGTATATATGCATATATACTTCTTATCACTGCCATTTATTAATAATCAATAGTTTATCATATATAATTATTCTAAAATTCTATTTGGGACCTTATTTTCTTTTCTTACTTGTCTTTTTTGTTAAATTTATTTAGGTCTGAAAGGATGATGCTGCTGTCTATAGAAATTATTGTCTTATTTTCTAGTTCTTCCTGAAGTTTGATTAGCTTTTCCCTTAGATGCTGAATGATGATATGCATGTATGTATGTATGTGTATATATGTGTGTATGTATATATGTGTGTACATGTGTATATGTACATATATATGTATATATATGCATACACACATATGTGTGTGTGTGTGTGTGTGTGTGTATGTAGTCTTTGCATTGGTATTTTCATTATCAAGGCCAGTGATATTCAAAGTTTGTGTATCTGTTTTGGGAGTATGTAAGACAAGTCAATGGGGTATACAAAAAACTCTTAGTTCTTAGAAGCCCAACACAGCTGATCGGCAGACTTCAGTCTCTGACTACATCTGCAAGAGTCTTTTCCCCTGCTTTCATCTAGTTCAGGTTGTGCTGGATGACTAGCCATATGCCTGATACATACTTCCACAGGCAGACACACATGCAGCAATCATTATCCACCCATTCACTATATGGCCTTATCTTCCCTATCTCTCACCTGCCATAGCTTCATCATACACCTCATATATTTCTTGCTCTGGTTCCCCATATTCCACAACCCACTGAGGGCCCAGGCTGCAATAAAAACACATATGGTATTTTGAAAGGAGTATGGGATCCTTCTAGAGACCCTGGAGGAAGAAAGAGACAATATATAGGACATATGCTTCCTATTTAGCTAGCTCTGTGCTAGAGAGCAAAGTGTCATACTATCCAAACCCTTGTCCAAACTATTTCTAGGGGCTAATGGGAATAGGCTGACCCTTTTCCCTGGAGTGGGTGGGAACGCCTTTTCTGGGTCTCATTCTCAGAGAAGGATGGAAGATTGGGTAGTGCTTCCTGGGCATTTCCCTCCACCTTTGGAAGATGCATTAGCTTATTGTACAGGCCTCCATGGGGCTCAGTTACAAAAAGTACAGTTAGACCAAACCCTACTTTTCTAGGAGTGTGGGGCACTTCCAGGGTCTCAGCCTCAGAAGGAATGAATAGGGTTTGTGCTATACATGTGTAACATTGGGCAATTGACTTAATCTCCCTACACCTTTGTTTCTTGCCTCAAAATTGAAGGAGTTAGGGGAGGTGGCCCCTGAGGTCCCTTCCAGACCTAGATATAGCCTATACAGTGTTCATCCTATGCTCTTGGAATGCACACTTCCTGGGGCTCAGAATAAATTTGAGCTAAGTATTTTAAAAGAAACACTTTTAAAAAAATCTGAGCAAAATTTTCAGATTCATAGGTGGCAAATAGAATTTAGAATCAAATGTGTCTCCAATTAGATTATAAATTTTTTGAAGACAGGAACAGTGTCTTATTAATTCTTTACATCTTCTTGAATGCCAAGTATTATATTTTACACACAGTAGGTATTTAATAAGTCAAGGAAACTTGGGTTGTAGTCATGACTCTTGGATTACTCATATGTAGAGCCCAGTAGAAAATCACTTTGGGGGCAGCTAGGTGCTGTAGTAGATAGAACACCAGCCCTGAAGCCAGGAAGATCTGAGTTGTAATCCCACCTCAGACACTTACTAGCTAGCTATGTGACCCTGGACAAATCACTTAACCCCCATTGCTTCCAAAATAAAAAAAAAAATCACTTCAACTCTATAGGCCTCTGTTTCCTAATCTATAAATTGAGAGAGTTAAACTAAATTAGTTCAGGTCCTATTCATTCTACAATCTTCTCATTCAATGACTCTAAGTCATAGGTGTAACAGATTGACAACTTTCTCATGCTATGCATATAATATACTTCCCCAAAGCATGATAGGCAAACAATGAGAATCTCAGTTGCATATAAATTTATATAATCATCATAACATACCCTTGGTAGGAGATAGTTAGGCCAGCCACATCAGAATTATCACAGCCCATTGCAAACAGGGAAAGCAATAGAAGGTAACCAAAGAATGAAGATCCCAGATAGAGTTTTGAAGCTCCAAACACACTGATCCTGAATTTTTTCATAACTAGTCCCCCAGAGAATATTCCAAAGGCTACTGCTGGAATGTTGATGAGCCCTTGGGAAACAAAGAAAAAATCATTATGAAGCGAATTGGCAAATGTTCTACTTCATATTTTATGAGTATTTCTATACAACTAAGTGGTCTCTAGGTTTCTTGAATATTTAATCTTTTAAAATAGTGAAGGAAATAGAGAATAATATCCACTAACACATAATAAATTTCTACTGTGTTTAAGGGCTTGATTTAGAGATACAAAGTAAAGAATCTATACTCTACTATGAATATACAGGCCAATGGTCAATTTGCTGTTGTTATTGTTTGGTCATTCAACCCTGTCCAACAAATTGTGACCTTGTATAGTGTTTTTTTGGCAAAGATACTGGAGGGCTTTGCCATTTCTTTCTTCAATGGATTAAAGCAAACAGAGGTTAAGGAACTTACCCAGGGTAACATAACTAGTGACTGTCTGAGACCAGATGTGAACTTAGATCTTCCTGACTCCAGGCCTAGCACTCTATGCACTGAGCCACCTATCTATCTCCAAGGTAAACTGAGGTAAAGTGACTTGCCCAGGTCACAAAGCAAATAAGTGTCTAAGGTCAAAATTGAACTCAGATCTTCCTGCCTTCAGGCCTAGAACTCTATCCACTGAGCTAAAGCCCTAGAATTCAACCCATTCTGACCCAGTCTCAGAGATAGAGATTTGAATCAAATGATAGAAAGTTGTGTAGTAAAATATTTATTGAACATTGACCAAATACATAGAAGTCTATTGGTTGGTTGTTGTCCTTCGTAATTGAAGAGGACCAAAATGTTGGGGTTACTGTGTTGGGGTCAGTGTGCAGTGTGTCTGACTGTGGCTAATTAGACCAATATGAGCTCAGAAAGCCCTACCACATGTTGGACACAAATAGTACATCTAGAGTTCATATAAAGAAGTATATCAGATACATGGCTCAAAAGCAGACATAGTCTGCTAGGAGGAGGGCTGACTGTAGACAAAATTATGATGATGTGAGTGCTTCCTCTTCCATACTCCTCTTCTCCAAGTTCTGCACAGCTCCAGTTCCTTGGCTAATGCCTCTCCTTTCTATCTTTGGATGCACTGTACCATTTCACTTTCCTCTTATCAAAATCTATTTTCAGGAAAGACTCTGAAACTCATTTATACTAAAGTATAAATTGAACCTCTTCATTTTAGAGATGAGAACTAAGGAGCACAGAAATTAAATCACTTCCCTAAGATTTCCCAAGTAGCAAGGCCAGGCTCTGAATCCAAATGTTGTAACTTTAAATGTAGCATTCTTTTTACTCCACTTCCCTGCTCTATACATTGAGAACGGTTCAAATTTTGACTTTTCATAGGAATATTTCCATTATAACAGTATTAAAATTGAAGTTAAATGAATGAGTACCAACAGAAAAAAATTACAAGTGTCACATAACAGATAAGGAGACTATTTTGTATAGCAGATCTTCCTGATATCTCAGAAGTTATGTGGGAAGAGATGATAGCACTCTCTGCCTAAGGGTTCATCCAGGAATCTGTTTCTTTATGGGGAGATAAAACAGACTGAGAGCTAGAGTACAAGAGATTACAGATTCAGAGTGGAGTTTACCTACTCTCATTTTTATAGATGAGAAAACAGGCCCAGAGAGGCCATTTAGGCTCTCTGTTTTGAACTGAGGATCTCCTACCTCCAGACTGATATCATATGCACTATGTTACATTTTTGGTTGTTGTTCAGTTGATTTTCAGTTATGTCTGACTCTTTGTGACCCCTTTTAGGGATTTCTTGGAAAAAATACTGGAATCATTTGTCATATTCTTCTCCAGATCATTTTACAGATGAGGAAACTGAGGCAAACATGGTTAAGTGACTTGTCCAGGGTCACACAGCCAGTGAGTGTCTGAGGTTGGATTTGAATTCATGTCTTCCTGACTCCAAGTCTTTTATCCAATGCATCATCTAGCTACTATGTAACTGCCTCCTACATATTTCAAAAGAAGAAATAATTGCATAATATGAAGAAATATTAAGAAAAAAGTTATGATCATAGGTTGGTTAGTGGGTATAGTGAGAAAATGATTGGACTGGGAGTTAGAAGATGTCGGTGCTGATACCTTCCACTTACTAGCTATGTGAATTGAGGGCAAGTCGCGACCTTTCAAAGCCTCTATTTCTTCATCTGTCAAATTTATAATATGTTGGGCTACATGCTTTGTAAAATCTCTTCAAGTTTTAATATTTTAAGATTTGAAAACTTCTTAAGTTAATTTTGTTCTGAAAAAAATCTCATCTAGTCAGCATATTTTAGTTCAGATAATTTCTGGGTTCCTAGGGCAGTTTTAAGGTAAAGTTGGGCTTTGAGGTTCACTCTTGAGACACTATTCACTGAACCAGACCTCTAGGCACAGTTTAACATGAACACCAATGCCTTTCCAGGCCTGGAAATACCCTGGGCTTTGAGAGAACAATTTTAATGTAAGTATGGTCAATATATGAGCTTAACTTCCTGGGGCCGCTCTTGATCATAGAAAAGTGAAGTTGTCAATTGTACCATGAACTTCTGAGGCCGAATTGTTTCTAAAATTAATGAGACATAACATTTCTCATAGATTTACACCTAACAGTAAGAGCTATCTGGTTGATCTTCTATAACAACAATTGCTCCTTATTTTTTTCAATTAAATTTTCATTTATATTTTATTTTTTACATCACCAAAATTTCTCCCAATATCCTTCCCTCTTTACCATAGCAGAAATCCATCTCATATTAAAATAATATTTTAAGAAAAAAAGGAAGAGAAAAAAATCACAAAACTGAACAATTTTATGTTGTGAGTATTTGGTTTTGCTTTGTTTGATAGTATGACTGCAATTCCTATAGTTTTGTATTCTTCTGATTCCTAGTAAATTTTGTTTTAGCCCTTCATTTTTATTCTATGTATCCATTTGGAAATTTTGCAAAGAAGAATTTTTTTAACACAACCCATCACTCTAATATTATTTGGATTGTTTAATCTATTCACATTTAAAATTGTGAAAGATTACTATTTTCCTCTGTCTCTAATACTGTTGTTATTTTTTCTGAATTAGATGTTTACCTTCTTCCTCTGTAAAAACAGTTAAGTACTTTATCTTTTCAGTTATTTTAAATTAATGTACTTTAAAGCAACTCTCTTCCTATTAACTTTCTTCCTTTTGTCCTTAAGCCCTTTTCCCATTTGTTGTCCCCTTCCCTAATTTTGGAGTTTTGTTCAACTTGTTAATTAATTTTATTTCTTCCTTTTATTCATTTATCTAATTCTTTCCCTCTTTAAAAAAATAATCAAGTAAAATCACCCTCTATCTTCTCCTTCAATCTATTTCATGTGTTAGGTTTTTAAATTTCATTTTGTTTCCCTCAATTTCATTATTATCTCTTCCCCCTCCCCTCCTGTTTTTTGTCTATTCTAAAGTTTTATTCTTTGGCTTTTGTGCTCATTTATTCCTTTTTAGTCTCTGTATTCCTCAGAGCATTAAAACTTCTGAGGTACCAACACCATTTTGTCTTCTAAACAGTTTTGTTATTTTGTAAATCTTCCCCTCTCCTTTTAATTTTTTTTTCTGCCCCTCTCTGAGAAATACAAATTCCTACAGGAGATAAACTGAATGGAAGTATTGCTTAAAGTAGGATTTTTCCTATCTCTCTCATTGTGCAATTCCTTACTACCTCTTTTGCTCCCCATAATTATTTTCCCCCACTTGCCAAAAAATGTCCTGTCTCATTCCATGTTCTCCCATTCTTCTGGGTGTCAGTTATCCTCCCTCCTGTCCCCTGCCCCAGAAGCTCTAATTCTTCTCTTCTGAAAGGATACCTTATGAAGGCACAATACTTTCTGAGGTAGTGTTCTCTCTAAGCATAAAACCTTGTAGGTTATATCTGTTATTATACCTTCCAATATAAAATATCTCTTCCCCCAACCTGGAAAAGGCATTTTTCAGTAGGACTTCCTTTTGTCACTGATTTGAGACTTCAGCTTTTCCTTCCTCCTATTCCAATCCTTCCATTTGCTTCTTTACATATTCTCTTATAGGTCTCCTTTTTTTGAGAGAGTTATTACATACGTTATTTTTCCTTCATGTTTAACCATTTATTTGATTAAGGTACATCACGTGTTTCCCTTTTTTTCCTATACTCTCCACTTTTATGTTTCATCCTATTCTGCACTTTAGTTCAACATAACAACAAAACAAAAACAAAAACAAGCAAATAAAAAACCCCACTTCACCTGATGAATGTTATAAAATTTAATCCATGTTTCAGGCTTGATGCTCCATATCATTTCCTCAATGTGGTTTCTGCTTTTACTCTCATTGCTCTGTATAATTTTAAAAAGAAATTTTTAAAAGAAGTAGACTAACTTTAAGGTGTGTTGTTGTTGGTAAGCCCATATGTGTTATTTTTTTTTCTTTCTAGCTTTTTTTTTTTCATTTTTCCAGGGTAATTTATTTCATTACTTGTACTTTTACTGGTGGCTGGTACTTTAAAAAAAACTTTCTAATGTCTGTTGTCTGTTTTTTTTGCAAAGCAAGTAATCTTCTTAGGCAAATTTTCTCCAAATGTCTCTTTTATTGAATGAAAACCTTTTTTATACATTCATTCACTCCATTTGTTAATTCATTTTGATTGATGACTAGGCTCAAATTTTCAGGATATATCACCTTGAATTATATCTTCAGGTAGTTTGCTCGCTAGAACACATTATTCCATTTTCTCTTGCAATTTCTGATGTGTGTAGAATACTCTTGTATGATTTTAATTTTCTTTACTTTATATTTAGTCTTTCTTCTGGTCACTTTTAGAATTCATTATTTATCATTGTAATTATTAAGTTTAACTATTATATTTCTTGTACTTTGCAGCATTGTATTTTTTTTTTCTGGAGGTGATCTGTGGATTCTTTAAGTTGGTAGTAAGGTTTTTGTGTTCAGAAGTCCAGGGAACATTTGATGTATTATTTTTTGCATGATGGTGTTCAGGCTTTTTGACTTATTTTCTGATAGCTC